AACTGCAACACTTCTTTCAATCCACACAAGCCCTTTCTCAGAGACGGACATCTCGAAGTTACTGATATATCAGATTCTCATGTGCTCATCAAAAATGCGGTGGCTTCAAGTTGCTATAATCAACTTGGCAACTTGACAGCGGGATTCTTTGCATCTATTTGTTTAACACAATATTTTAGCTTTTCTGAAATGAATAAATTCACAGTTGTTGGATGTGACGACGTAGCAATAATAGCAGGAACCAAAGGGCGTAACTTCACCGGTGGATGTCTTTCCACCTGTTCGTCAGAGGAAAGTGTCCTTGATGGGGATTGTTCAGGGACGGGTTGCTGCCAAACCTCCATACCAAAGGGCATGCAGAGTTTTAGTACTTATATGGGCAGCATCGATAATCACACTAAAGTCTGGTCCTTTGCTCGTTGTGGTTATGCCTTTCTTGGAGAGCAGGACAGCTTTACGTTTCATAAAGCAAACCTAACTGATTTGAAATTCAGGGACAGAACCGCAGAAAATGTCCCTGTACTCTTGGACTGGGTGATTGGGACTCAAAACTGCACTGAATCTCACAAATCCAACCATGTTAGTTGTCATCAGAATAGTAGATGCTTTGATCCTCATAATGGTCTTCAAGGATACCGATGCACCTGCTTCGAGGGTTATGAGGGCAATCCATATCTTGATCCAGGCTGCAGAGGTCAGTACCAGGCTTTTGCACCATAATTAATCAGAAAATGAAAAAAATTGCTTTACACAATTTTCATACACTAATGAGATTATTATCCTTGTTTATGTGCCAGATATCAACGAATGCAATAAAAATCCATGTGATCCACAAGGAATTTGCACTAATACTCCGGGTAGTTATAATTGTTCATGCCCGCATGGATATCTTGGTGATGGCAGAAAAGATGGCCATGGCTGCGATAAACAGACTCCAGTATTCCCGGTGATCAAGTTCTCTTTAGGTACTTTGATTGATGAGCGCTCTCTCTCTCTCTCTAAATGCCAAAACCTAAACAAAACTCCGTGCCGAAAGTGTTAAGGGACATAATTTCACGTCCAATAAAGCTGAAAACATAGACCAACTTATAAAGTTTGGGTTAGTCCTCTTAACAAGGTTGACATTTTAAATGTAACTCTAAATCTTAATATGGTATCAGAGCCCATTGAGCTCTAACGAGCAATTAGATTCAATTAAAACTCGAAAAATTGGCATTCGGATTTCAAGATTGGTTTGTTCAAATGAGCCACAATTTTGCGGGGACATGTTAAGGGATAAAATCTCACATGTTTCCTTAATAAGGTTGATTTTTTAAGATGAAACTCTAGTCTTAACAAGAAGAAGTTCATTTCACACATCCATACTTATGTCAAAATAGTAACACGGAAAAAAACATGTACTCTATTTGAATGCACATAGTATATGATATTAAATTATCTTGTAGAAGCTATATTTGATGACACTATGAAGGACCTAAGTTGGTTTGTCAAAAAACTGTTAGGTATCATTATTGGATTGGTAGGTAATATTACTAACTTAAAATCATGACCAGTTGTACATTCCTTGGTGAAAGCTTCTAATCGTTAATTTGATTACTATGAATGGTTGGATCAGTTTCTAAAATTAGTTCAATGTGCATGTCGAACAAAAAAATTTCAGGTCTTGGTTTTGGCTTCTTGACCTTGATAATTGGTATTACTTGGTTATACTTTGGCATTCAAAAACGGAAGCTTATTAAACTGAGAGAGAAATTCTTCCACCAAAATGGCGGTTTTCTATTGAAGCAACAACTTTCTTCGAATGAGGCTAGTATGGAATCAGCTAAAATCTTTTCTGCAGAAGAACTAGAACGTGCAACAAATAACTATGCTGAAGATCTTATCCTTGGCCGTGGTGGTAATGGTACAGTTTATAAAGGAATTATGAGTGATAAACGTATTGTTGCAATTAAAAAGTCAAGAATAATGGATCAGGGCCAAATTGAGCAGTTCATCAATGAAGTAATTATCTTGATTCAAGTCAACCACCGGAACGTGGTGAAGCTACTAGGATGTTGTCTGGAGACGGAAGTTCCTTTGTTGGTTTATGAATATGTCTCCAATGGAACACTCTTTTACCATATCCACGCCAGTGAGGGAATGTCTTTGTTTTCTTGGGAAAATCGTTTAAGAATTGCTGCAGAGTCTGCTGGTGCATTAGCTTATCTTCATTCTACAGCATCAATACCAATTATTCATAG